CCCCCCCCCCCCCCCCTCTCTCTCTCTCTCTCTCTCTCTCTCTCTCTCACACACACACACACACACACACACACACAACACACACACACAGAGGCAGGCAAAAAAGCAAAAGACCCCCGGTGACCGGAATTCCGCGATCGAGTGGAGAGAGACGTGAGAGAAAGAGAGAAGGGAGTGAGAGAAAAAAAGGAAAAAGTCGTCTTTGAGCTCGCCTCAGTTTGGCAAGCTCGGACTTCCAGAGCAGTGAGTCTTGCTGCGCCTCCCCTCTGTCGCTCTGGCGTTCTACCGTCTATGCGCTTCTTCACTGTTTAGGATAGGGGATTCCAGACCCACTTACGATCCCCATCTTGGCATCCTAAAACACCATAAATATATAATTAAAAAAAAACGAAAACACAAACTCCTACTGTGAGGGGATGGGGATGTGACTACGAGTACACACAGAGGAGATCATCCTACTGGTAGTGTGATGAGCATGGAGAGCTCTCCAAACTCCTTCCCTGTGTAGCGTGTTCCCCCGAGTGGAATTTGAAAGTACCTTCGCAAGAGGGGTACTTGGGCCAACAGAGGGCCTCGACACACCTCTGTCGAAATGTGAAAAAGACAAAAATGGGACGGGCGCATCTGGCCATGTTCTAGCGGGAAGTTCATTCTCATTTTGCACATTTGGAGAGTGGTGAGGCGATGCCCAGAGTCTTGATGCATGGAAATGCCCACACAGATTCGCAAAGATTCGTCGAGGGCTCGGCCGAGACGAGGCCCAGCCATCATCGAGTCGTTGGCGGGAAGCCGCGAGGGCGCGCTGTTTCGCCCCCTCACTCAATGCACCTCCCCCGGGCCTCCAGCTTCGGGTGAGGTTCTGAGCTGAATTTGCCCGCCATATCAGTTCACATTCACGCCCCCAGTGTAGGCAAGCAGAGGGATCTCAACGCCGCTATCGGGGCGGTTTTTCTTTTTCTTTTTTTTCTTTTTTTTGGGCGTTTTTTTTTTCGCCGCTGTGGCAGGCGGGAAGGCGCGAAAAGGCACGAGATGCCACGCGGATACGCCAGGGAGAACGCAGCACACGCGGATCAGCCGGAGCGGATGCCGAGCAGCCCATGTATTCGCATGCATGGGTTGCGCTCCACTGCAGAGCCACACCCCTCTTGAAAACGTTTTTTTTTTTTTTTTTTTTTTTTTTTTGGTCCCTAAAAAGTTTAGTACGGAGGGGAGCGCCGAGGCTGGGCGACTGCGCTATTTTGCGCTAATTCTGTCGCTCCGAACCGGCGCTAGAGCGGGCGGGCGGTTGCCCCCTCTCGCTCGTTCCCTGCCTTGCCGTCATCCCCGCCATCGCTGACGGGCCACGGAGGAACTTCAATACCCGCATATCGCAAGTACCGACAAGGGTCGGCGGACATAGGGTCGGATCCCACTACCCTGGATTATTCATTTTTCACCATCGATCACGAAGATCAACGGCCAGAAATGAACAATAGGAGCTAGTGGGATCTGGTCCTATGTAGTTCCCTACAAGCTACCGGTAGCCCAGTATCCCGCAGTATCCTCCTACCTTCCTAGTCGAACCAACCATGTTGCCATGCAATTTCCGGGTTTCTTTTTCTTTTCCTTTTTTTTTTCTTTTTGTTTTCTTTTTTCATTTTCTCGTCCAAATCGGGAATAGTAGTCAACCGGATTTTGTTGGACGACAACAGGGAGTCTGAGTCACCTTCCGTGTACCTTCCGTCTAGCACTGCCGATCAAGGCAGAAGTACTTAGGGGCGAGAGTGGGAGATGAGCAGTATATTGGGTGAGGGAACTCAGCGGCGGCTTTAATTCCACTAAAAGGAAGCGGGTGGGGTGGCTACGATCGTAAGGTAAACATGAGAGAGGAGGATGGCTAGAGGGTAACAAGGGAGGATAGGTACGCCTCGATGGGAGGCGATTGGCTTCTAAGGTTGTAACAGCCTTTGGCTTCTAAGGTTGTAGCAGCCTTCGGAAGGTCTGCGTACTCCTTCACAGGAAGGAAGGGGGAGTCGGGAGACGGGGGGCTATGCAGCAATAGGAAGGAAGACCTAGTGAGAGCTTTCGAGGTGGTTGAGGAGGAGTGGGAACAGGTATGGAGGTGGAGGGTCAAAACGAAGGAGGGGAGGGGAGGAGGTCGCCCCCCCCCCCACAAACAAACTTCTGGGCTGCAGAGGATAGGACAAGGCATTCGATAGGGCAGTGCTATGATGAGGGAGTGATGCAATTAGTGGCCAATTTAGGGGAGGTGGTCATTGACGAAAGAGGAAAGAGATTCAAAGTGAATGAATCCTTCGACGAGATCAAGGAGAGATGGCTGAAAGAAAGAACAGTCGCTTTTATCTTCCAGGATGAGGCCCGGGACCTAGCAAGGAGCGTGAAGGAAGACCTAGTGAGAGCTTATGAGGATGGGTGGATGGCTCGGCGCCTGTTTAATCCGGAGGTAAGGAGAGGAAGGATCAAGTTTGAAAGTCCTAACAGTATCTCTTATGTGGGCAAAGCGGTGGAAGTGGCGGCGTGGCTCCTACAGAAGCCGTCACTCATGCTGAATCTCGGAGGGAAGGAGTCTGCGGTCTTAGTGAAGCCTTGGATGACGAAGCTGGAACTGAAGGACTTAAGGTTGTCCAGTTGATGTAGCTCAGTGGTTAGAGCACGGATTGGATATGCGCATTGTGGTATGAGGTTGCGGGTCCAAAACTCCGCAGCCTTGCACATGGACACCGGCAGGTTGTTAGAATGACGCTGTGACGAACCAATTTCTGTTCCGCGCGATCTTCTGCGCGATGACAATGAGGGGTCCTAAGATGGGAAGGTTGGGCCAATTACAGGAGATCGGTATCGAAGGGAAATTGCATCGCTATCCTCGCTTTTTCGTCTTTTCTCTTTCGTCGCTTCTTTTCGGATGGCTGGGTTCAGGGCCGGGCAAGTCCCGAGATGGCCGATTGAGTGGCCGTCGCGCCGACAAAAGCACGAATAATAATGTTTGACGCCGCTTCTTTCTTGTTTTGTTGTCGGGTTTTAGGCGCGGAGGTCGCGCGGGAATTTTGCTTCGTTCTTTTTTATTTTCTTTTTCGAATCTTGACGAGTCCTAGACGGCTCTCAGAACTTCGGATTTTCTTTTCGGAATTTGTGCTTCTTTTTGCATTAGCTAGGGATTTGGGAATTTAGGAATTCGGGATTTCTTTTGTCACGCGTTGTCTTTCTTGCGCGCTTCTTTTTGCGGCTGCAACGGAGCTTTGATTAGTCGGCGCCCTTAATCTCGCAAGTAACTGTAATTTTTGGGCTGGCGCCATTGTAACTGTATCTTTCTTCTTGAGCTTCGTCTTTCCCGCTCTCTCTTTCCCTTTTGCTGTGCCTAGCTAGGCCCGYGGCCTGCATGCTCGGATCGATGCGTGGAGAGTGGCTACGTCCCCCACGCCGCGGTCTGGCTATGCAGAACGTAGGCGCTCCCTCTCCTAATCTCCTTTCTAAGTCCTTGCAATTCTGTGTTCTTCGCGCATGCATGCACACTATAAATTCCGGTTGCGCGATTAGATAGCTCTCTTAACCAGTTGTTGGAAGCTCGGGGTAGCGCGATCAGTGAGTGTCGGCTCACGAGCGAAGTAAGAGGTGAGTTGAAGTGGGAGTCGGGCGACCCGACGAGCTGGTGCCGAATGCGCGGGGTTGACGCGTGGGGCTACGACGGACTGTAGCGCGCGGGCGAACCTGACGGGTGCAGGAGGACTAAGCGGGGTGACGACTTCGTGGGTTGGTGCGTGACGACAGACTATCCGCATCAGAGAGAGAATACCGTTTAGGGGCACCTTGGATCGCGTGCGGAAGGCTTCCATTACGCTGCAGTGATAAGATGCCAAGCTCTTGGGACTCGGAGTACTTCGACCCTTGGGTGAGAGAATGTATTAGGCAAAGATACCCGGAATTCCCCTACCTAACTGAGAATCGATTGTGACTTAGGGAGTTTCACTGTGCCGTAACCAGCGATCCAAGGTGCCCCGATTTTCCCACCACGGATATCATGCAATACTTCATATCCCCCGACTTCGTCGTTATCACTACCAATTTCCCTCCCTTCCGTCTCCTCCTTCCATATTACCACTCACCGTGGTACCGTGGAATTCCATCGCCCCGTATTGGCCCCGCACGCCTTGCGGAAATTGTCGACGACGCGGCAACCGATGAGCCCCTGAAACTAGGGGGCCTAACCAAAACACGCGATGACAGACGCCATGTGTCTGCACCCGAAGGTGCAACTCATCGGAATCACAACCGTCCCGGGCGGGCCTCTCCCAGAACCGTCGCCACCAAAACAGACGGATCGGACGGCCTTGAATACACCGCGCATGTCATCTGCCTTATGCTGCACGACCTCGACTGCCATCAGACCAGAGGTAACTCGCCCCTTTAGATCTATTGCATCTATGCCCCTAAAACCTTACTACATGAGATCTTAATTCCCACCTGGGACTCCACCCACACTTTTCCCAAAAATCCTTGGCACACCCCTTTTCGCACTTCCAGACCCACATCCCACTCCGATCAGGAAGTCGCGCCGAGCGAGAGGTTGGTATCGGAGCCCGACACGTGGCAAGGTTCTAGGATTCGTAGTTGGGCGATCTGGCTAACAGGGGACGACCTCGACCGAGGAACGCACATCGACGCGACCCGGTCGTCACCAGAAGCCGGTCTGCGGCTCGAAGGGCGGTCAACATGAACGCTAATCAACAGAACCCCCAACAGAATCCAAATCCACAACAAAATCCTAATCAAC